GGAGAAAGTTGGGGGGATTATCAGTGCTTGTGTGGAGTGGTTGGTGACAAAAGTAAACTGAACAATCTGAATGTTCTCAATTATTCATCAATTATTCATCAAAATCCTTCTCATTTTGTTTTTTTAAACTATTTCCTAAACTCACACAGGGGTTTGGTTGTAGATAGATAGAAAGATAGATACTTTATTGATCCCCGTTGGAGAAATGCAGGTGTCCAGCAGCAATAGACTCAACTAGGTTTGTTGTACAGTCTGACAGCAGAAGGAACAAAGGATCTCTTGAATTATTCCGTTCGGCAGCGTAGTGATAGGAGCCTGTTGCTTCGATGACTCCTCTGAGCGGCCATAGTGTCATGCAGAGGGTGTCTGGAGTTACCCAGGATGCCCTGCGTTAGAGCCCTCATCCCCTCCACAGACAGCTCCCACACTCTGCACTCTCACTACAGTCTGCTCCCATCAGGGCGTAGGTTCAGGTCCCTCCCATTCAAAACAAAAAGGGCCACATCCAGCTTCCTCCCCACCTCAATTCGCCTTTTAAACAGCTGAATTGGTGACCTGTTTTATGTATTTTAAATTGCATTTCTGCTCTTTTACTGTATTTATTCTTAGATTGCGTGTCTCTGTGTTTTTGTGTGCCCCCACCGGTGCTCTGTCTGTAAATGAAGTTCCTCACGGATTAATAAAGTTATTGAATTGAATCACAGAGACACATTTCCTGATCAGTCTGTCGAGCCGGTTACTGTCTCTGAGGTCAGACTGGCGCCACAAAACGTGACCCCAAAGAACACGGCACTAGCTACAACAGACTGGTAAAAAAAATTGCTAAATCTAACTGCTCACATCAAAGGACCTCAGTCTTCTCAGGAAAAAGAGTCTGCTCTGAGCTTTCTTGTTGTGGTGTATCCTTACAAAAATCTTTACAAAAAATCTGAATATAGTCTAAAACTTTTAAAACCGCTTTCTCAAAGGAAGGATCCATTTCCAGACAATATTGAATGCCATATAAAACATATTTGGGGTTAAAGTCTAAATAGTAATCTCATATCGTAGAAAAAGTGTAAAAGCGCTTGCACACCTTGCTTTTTCTCATGAATAATGCATTTTGTTTGTACAACAGAAAGAGAAAGAGTTAAAATAGAATACATTCTGATTGCCTCTCAGTGTGGCAGTTACTATTTGACTCTTTGGGCTGAGAGTCAGTTGCTTGTTCTCTTTTCTGTTGCTCTGAATATGTTACAGAGGTCAAAACGTGTGAAAACTAGTGGTGGTTCAAAAGTTAGATACCCCAGCTTTAAACTGCTATGCCATTCATCCGTAGAGTTGCCACATACAAAATCTCAATAAGACACAGATCTCTCAGAGTCCACACTTACTCCTCGATCTTACTGCGTCCACAGAAGATCACATAGAAAGAAGGGGAGAGCCTTGGCTTCCTGTCGGCCCCCGTCACTGACCCCGGGCCCCAGGGAGCCGGCATCAAAGCAGTGGGAGCTGACAGTCTCCGCATGGACTATTTATTCTCCATTAGAGATCACTGGGATTCTCGACTACCAGTGGATTGGCTCAGCAAGTTCAGAACGGAGATTTTTTTTTCAAATTAATAAAAGTAAAGCAAAGGTATGTGAAAAGCCAGTGTAGATGCCAAAATAACGAAAATACAAAGACAAATTTTGAGCTAAACTTTTTATTCAAATTCAAACCATCAATTTCATGAAGTTTAGAGATTATTACTGTCTATTTTTGTCAGTGTCTGTGTCGATCTGGATCCTGAGTCTGTAAAAAAGTGATCTATCTATATATCTACCATTTCCAACGCACCCAAAAACACTTTGACATTTGCCCCAACATTGTGCCAACATCTTTTCTCCGCGTTGCGTAACGGCGCTTTTCAAACAGCAACACGAGTCCGTTGGCGATTCGACATCCTCAAAACGCTAAAGATGAAACAGAAAAACAGCACAACTCTCTTTTCACAGGCAAACCGACGAGAGAGGGCTTCTTCTACTCCGACTTCGGCTCCCTGCACCACCGCAGCGCTTTTCTGGGCTAGTACCGCTACCGTTTGATGCTCCGTATGTTTTAATCATTCGCCGCCTTAATGATGACAGTCCATTTATTATTTATGTTTCGCGATCCCTCTCCGCCAGGCCCGTCCACGGTACCAGGGCCCGTATTACCAACAGCGGCTCCACTCCACTATTTGATCTAGCCGTAATTACACCGCTTTTTGGAGATCACACTACAGGCTTTATGTTAAGTAAAGGCCTACTTGAAAGGTTTTTTTTTTTCACCCCCCTGTCGTTTCACGCTTCTTTCCTCCACTGTGCTTGAATGAGCTTTTAAAGTTGTTGTAATGGCCTTCCTGTGGGCTTTGGCAAAGTTTAATATCCATGGATTCTTACATGCTTGAGTAACAGTGATTTGTCCCTCTTCAAAGCTCAGAAAATCGGATTTACATATGATGAATTGTTTACAGCAGTGTTTTTCAACCTTTTTTGAGCCAAGGCACACTTTTTTCACTGAAAAAATCTTGCGGCACACCTCCAGGAGAAAATGTAAAAATGTATACAGTACTAATGTAAAAATATATACTGTACATACTCTGTGTGATATATAAAGTATATCTTATCTTATCTGATAATGTATACAGTATACTCTGTAGCCTATATTCACAATACACAGTTATTCTCATCAAAATGCTTAAGTCCTGGCCTTGACATTAAGCTTTATTTAATATTTCTCGATACAATTAACAAGAGTTTGGGAATAAAGTGGCACTAACTGTGTGGAAAAAAACTAAGAAAATCCACTCTCTGCCCAAATAGTCAAATAATAACTCACACAAAGAACATGCATTGTTAGTGCATGGAAAAAATTTAGGATACCGAGCTTTAAATTCAGGAGTTTTGGATGAGGGACACGGGAGGTCCTGAATGCGAGTCCATGGTTCTGTCCGGTCCGCATGTCTGTGGTTCTGTCCACTCGACTATGGTCTGCACTCGGTACCCAGTTCAGAAGTGCGTTCGCGAGAGCTGTTGTACAAAAATTGTACATTTCATAGTTAAACCACTACAACGCGGCCACAGCTGCCCCGGGGCAGAGCGGAGGATGTTAATCGTTCAGAGGCATAATTCATTTTCAAAAACGTCTCTATCACTTTCACTTCTCACTCGCCACAAAGCTCTTGTCTCGCTCCCTCCCACATTTGTTGGTCGCATCCAATTTTACCTTTCTCGCCACAATGATGACCTGTTACAGCCAGTGGTCGCATCCAATTTTTCAGTTTCAAAGTACTTAGCTATCTGCTGCCATCTACTGATTTGATAAAAGTATTACATGGTTACTCCACAGTTCAAAACAAGTCACCGCTCGTCAACAGCGAATGCAGTTATTTTTAGACAAAGTAGACGAATTTCTCACGGCACACCAGACAATATCATACGGCACACTAGTGTGCCGCGGCACAGTGGTTGAAAAACACTGGTTTACAGAACTCTCAATCAGGAAAGAATTCAGTTTGTTGGCATGTTTGCATGAATATATTGCGGCTGCATGATTTGAGACAGACCGGCGAGGCACGCCACACACATACAGTAATATTAATTGCATTTAAATACAAATGTTCATTAATGTTTGTTGATTAGAAATACTGCATGACATTATGTGGGGAAAAGAAGAAATGTCATGTCACATTTGGTCATAAACAGGATCACTCAGGTTGTGCAAAAAGACAGGAATAGTGTAAGTAAGTAAGTAAGTAAGCTTTATTTATATACCGCCTTTCACAGACCAGAGTCACAAAGCGGTTTACAGTTGTTATTTTTTGGGCACTTGTCTCTCACTCCACACAGAGATGGGAGCGGGGTCGCCGAACAGGAGGCGCATGCCAGACCTATTGTACATATTTTTAGTGGTAGGGGAAACCGGAGTACCCGGAGGAAACCTACGCAGACACGGGGAGAACATGCAAACTCCACTCAGAAAGGCCCTGGTCCGGCCGGGATTCGAACCCAGGACCTTCTTGCTGAGAGGCGAGAGTGCTATCCACTCAGCCACCGTGCCGCCCAAGTGAGGAGGTTGGTCCGTATATCTGGCAGGAGCTGCCCGTGCATCGTGTGCCTTGTGTGCTCCGCGGGTGAGCCCCACCAGCTAGCTACAGCGACAGGAAGATGAAGACGACATCCAGCTCCCCCTCAAAGAGCTTCTGGGCTGAGTTTACATGACAAGGTTCACACGCCATCACACTGCAGAGGATTGGAGGTCCAAACTAATCCATGAGTCAGCTAAGCATGGGTGCTCAGTGCCCATGGTGATAAATGCAAAACGAGCAGCGCATTTGAGTCTGGCGGCACACACATACAGCGATTACGAGTCAAGTGTGCATCAAATCACATCAAAGACCTCTGTGCTTATTCCAAAAGGGCCGCTGCACCAACTCTGTTTGTCACAGAGAGAGGAGCAGAACAGCGGCTGCGGCAGAATCCTCACGTACAATACCCAAGCCGCGCATAGCATCTACACACACAGACTGAGTATAAAATGGGAAGAACTTTACCCAAGTGGCGGGACTGAGCCGCTGATGGATGGGAGTTTTTTCAAACAAGTACAATCAGACAAAACATTTCACCAAACCTCTGTAGATGAATCACGGCACATGGCCCTGTGCAGATATGACATTTACAATAGTTATGAAACACAAAGCAATTATTGTGATATAGAAACAGAGACGTTTGTCAACTGAATCACCCGACAGGCTCTGAGAAAGGTGGATCTTGGTTGGATGAAGACTGGGCTCCCTTGTGAGCCATAAACCATCTTGAACCTTTTGCTTTATTTAATACACAGTGTTCTTATTTGAACATGTTATATTTATCATCTGTCCAAGTCTTCTCTGACTGTACCAAGCCTTGACAGTGGCAGTCTTATGTATAATTTATCCTTCCTCCTGGATTTTCTAGTTGGACCACGGATGTGAGATCCCTGTCCTACAGCCGAGGACATCACGAAGCGTGGCGTGCCCCCCAAGTCACCCCCCTGGCCAGGTGGGAGCGGGGAGCGGTGCTGGTGGAGTGGATGAAAGGCGAGTCGTGCCAGGGCTTCAGTACCTGGACAACCAGGTCAGGCACATGCCCTGAGCCACTCCACAATATAAGTAGCTCCAGCCTTTTAAGAATATCAGTGTCAGGGTCACATAGGGTGAAATTAAAGAAAACTGATAAATTACAATGGTTACTTTTAAATCTGCATTTATTAATGTATACAGGGCTTACATCATACAAGACAGTTTAAATCATTTATGTATAACTTTCAATCATTCATTATGTTTCCAAAATACCTCGATTTATCGGTGTAAATTTAAGAAGCAAGTAATTAGCTGAACAGCATTGCTGTGTCCGTTAGACCAGAACTCTGAAATTTTCTTCTATAATGCCAATTCTAGACCCAGAGGGAGCCTCGAAGACAGTTGCTGGTGAACCGGTCTCTGGTACCTGGAGGTGTACAGACAAAGATGGCCAGCCTGCTTCACTGCGACAGACTCATGTTTTTGTGAATGAGAAACCGACCTGTGAGGGCTCCAGACTGGATTACGCTGTTCATGTCCTTAAATCACAACTATGGTCCTGTTTTTCACATTGAGTAGCAAAACCACTTCCAGTGAGAAATCATATTGTTTGGAACACATTTGCAAAGTTCAAATTTAGGGTTATGAGGGTTCATGAAGAGTCAGTAATGAGTAGATTAGTAATATACGTTATATATAAAGAGTAATTTTGTTATGCCCGTAAAGTAAACTATTTTATTTGAAGTTAAGGACACTAAACTATTATTATTTTTGGCTTGTCTGTGTCCTTGTATCTCACTCAGAAGGTGGACAACGAACATACAGTACATTTGTACCTAGCAATAATTAAAAATGAATGTGTTATTTGGCAAAACTCATATTAAGAACAACATTTTTGAAGAGAAAGTTTGAACTACAGCTTTTAAAAGTAGTCCCTTTGTTGTGGACTGTGGCTTTAGTAACTGGCCCGGAGACTCTTGTTACATGTGAATATTTAATGTTGGCCGAGAGGATGAGCACAATGCTGGGGGAACTGTGCAGATGGAGCAGGTCGGGCAGAGGTGTCTCGTTTACAGCCTCGGCCATTAGCCCATAGCCCATTTCGAAGCGTTTACGTGTCTTTTGCAAATTTTTGTGTGTGACCGTCTTCAGCTGGAGTTGTGCGGCAGCATGACCCCCATTATGCTGAGCGAGCTCGCGAGCCTCCTGCGATAACAGCGACGCGCACGCTCACCTCAGCCTGCTAGTCGAGGCGGACTCCACCATCACGACCACAGCCCCTGAGTGGAAGCCTCACAGGCACACGAACACGCCACACCACAGCGGTAGGCACACACTCACTAGCAAGTCTTGTATCAGGCTTCACTGTAATTCATTGTATTAATCGCCACTTATTCTATTGAAATACGTCACCAATTTTAGTAATTTTATTTAGTACTTTATTAACATCTGTGTTTGTTCATAATACATTAGGTTTTTCCAACGAAAGAGATAAACTCAGAACCATAACATCTGTCTTCATCTATTAGAAATTCAATATTTTTTTATGCAGGAAGCTAAATACCTGAGAGTGATGGTCCCTATTGTAACAGAAGCCAAAAATACAAGCGTGAGAAAACTAGAGAAAGCTAGGAACTACATACTTGGATTTTAATGTTGTTTTCTAGTGGATTCAAAGTTAGGTAATTCAGTTCTTAACCTTAAATCCAACTAAGAATCAAGAAAATGTTATATGACTGCAGAATGAAACGTGTTTACCCTATTTTTAAGCAACCCTTTGTGTAACAAGTCTCTCTGTGAATATGTGCTCCAAGGCATCACTTTAGGTTTGTTTGGATCAAATGTGAAATAAAAATATCACCTGAACCTTTCAAGGATCAAAAAGAACCAATAAACTATTTGAAGAGTAATTAGCCAATTCCTAAAGCCATAATAGCTTTAAATTATCAGGAAGTGGACAATGTACGATTTCTGTTTTAGTTACAAAGATTGTGTTTTTATTTTATTGTTGTAGTCCCTGGCAAGGATCGTTCCTAAACAAATAACTGAATGAAACTGTTTTGGGCTTATTATGTGTTGCTTTTACTTCTTATTGAAATAGGGACCTGCATTTTTGCTTTTCCCTTAAAAAATAATGACATTTGAACGTAGAAGATACTTTTTGCAATATTGTTTCTTACTTAAAGTGGTATATATATAATTTTGTCACAATAAGTTATTAATATCTATAAAATACAATTGTTCATCAAATTGAGTTCTAGTAACAGGCATCCAAGAATACAAGCGTACGATAGTTCCAGTGGCCTGTGTGGGTTGATTGTGGACTTAAGGAAGTATGTTGCAGCATGGTCAATATGAGAAATTGTTAATCATGGTTTTGGAGGTGGAATTTCTATTGTTTGCTATGCTTTGAAGACGTGAGGATATTTCTGAGAAAAATAGAAGATCAAATCAAATGAGTGACATTTTTCATTTTAAGAGTTGACATTTTACTTTACTACACAATTTTAAGATTGACCATTGAGTTTGCTCTAACTCATCATTTTTTGTCGTTTATCAACATTAACTCTATCAACAACACAAGATAATTGGATTTACGCCGAACAACATATGTAAATAACATAAACATATTTCACTAAAGTTTCAAATAAGTTTCAGCCTAAATTATCTGTATTTTACAATTGATGTAAAACTTTATAAATATAATAACATGGACCTTGGAGACACACATATCCTGCCGAAACACAGATCAAGTACACAACAATTTTCAAACAAACAGTCAAGACACACACACACATACAACCACACACACTTAAGGGGCAGGGAAATATTTTGCCAAAAAGTGTAAAAAGAGTATTGTCTTGACCACAAAAAAGGTCCCTGGACGATTTTACAACATGTTTGTGTGATGCATTTGCCTGTTGGATGGAGGGTGTCAGTGCTGTTCTCTCAGACGGAGACACTGGCTGTATCACAGACACTGACGAGCCAGTAGAGAAAGTGCTGTGTGTCATAGAGTGTTCCATAATGGAGGCTCCTTCCAAGCGCATTTATGTCGGAACACTTACGTTATTTACCGCATACTTTTACTGCAAGGTATCCAGTTTTTGGGTTTCGATCAACACTCAAAAGTGTCTGTTGTGCTTTCAGTCAATGTTCAAAGAAAATGATTCCTTTATCTCCAAGAGCCCAGAGGGACTCAGTATCTCACTTTTAATCACACAGCTCATAATTCAGAATGTCTCCCAAGGCCCAAAGTAGTTGTTTCACTTATGCTGTCATTGTACAGAAAAGGTGTCGAAATGCCCCCTGCTGCTTAACAAAACAAGATGTGAAGTATTATTTTTTTATTTATTTGTTGGAAAGACAATGAGTCAGTTACATGAAAATTATGGCTGCATTAAATTCAGCTTGCGAAATACCTTGTTTGTTTTAAGAGCTGGGTACCTACCTTTCAAACCACAAATCCAATCTCAAAAAGTTGGATTCTAACACATGCTTAGACATAGAAAAAGATAGGACCACCCTCACTCCAGCACTCAGCCCCAAATGTCAAATATGTGACTTGCAGGCTCTTTCATATACAGTATGCAAAAAATGTATTTCTATCAAGATGAGACAGCCTGTTTTGGGTCTGAATTATTCATAACATTTTACTTACAAACTCCTTCTGTCTGGATTCACTAAGTATTTAATTTATCCACACAGAGTGTATGACAACAGAAACTTGTATTTTAAACCAGAGTAAGCCAAAAGGATAGTTTTCCTTTGTAGTCAGCAGTCCTGGAGTACATACGGCATCCTGTAAGAAAGCAGCAAATATACTTAGAATTATTTATTAATTTAAGTGTAGCAGGAAGAGTAGCAAGAATGTATCAAAACAAAAAATAAAGGTCAGTCTTAAAATAGCAAATTGGCATACAATGTAACTTGCAACTGTAAAATACATAATAATCTAAAACACAGTAATCTATAAAAATATGGGAAGTATAAAAACATATGTTGCAGGGTATTTTCTATGTACTTTATCTTGTGTTCAGGTTTAAAAGAATACCATTTGCGGCCATAGCGCTTCACAACATGGAGACCACAGTGACGCGCCTCCCCAGCCCCCTCGCACAACTTTGGAGGAGGACCATCACCTGTTGTACGGGGCAACTCGAGCCTTGTATGTTCTTTGTGTTTCTCATGACAATGCTTTCCTGGTGTGTGTATGCCGTTGCGACCGCCATTAAGGCTCTGATAGTCGTGATGGAGACTGAAAAGAAGGGCAAAGAGGAGTGTGTTTGTGAGCAAGTGCCTCTGCTCTAAAGAAAACAGACTCAATCAAGAGTAGCAATCGAATGATAATCTGTGATTACTTTCACAGGCACTGGTATGTCGCTGTTCACCTGCTAGAAACAAGCCCACATTTGGTCTCATAAGCACGCAGAGAACGTAGTGCGTGTCCAGAGTTTAAAAACATCCTACACTTTCAAAGGACTCTATGCAAAACTTTAGAAAACCACCTCATTTATATTCCTGACAGCGGATCCTAATAAAGCAGATCCACAACTTGAGGCTGGCTTGAACTTTGAAATAAAGTAAATTATTATAGATCAGACCAATCAAGGTCAAAAGCGCACTTGATTTGACAGTGGTTTGTGTTTCCATATCATGTCTTTGTGTTTAACCTACTTATAAGCCTTTGTGTACACAATATGTGACTGTTTATATAAGTGGTTAAACATTTCCCTTACAAAGACACTTTTGGAGTTGTTTTTTGCTCCATCTACATAATAGAAGATCATGCACAAACACGGCCTTCTGCCCGCAATTCTTAAATGCTTTGATGAATCCTTAAACTATAGCATCCTGTCCCAGACTGTTTCTGCCTTTAAAAATAAGTTTTGCCTTCCAAATTAGTTTGTTGTCATTTCCTCAGATGAAAAGACATTCTCATTAATGCACTGTTTGATGTTGATAAAAAACAACTTTGCCATCCTCTGGTGGCAAAATCGGAAAAGGAATGTTGATATAATTGTTTATTAATTTAAAAAAAACATTATGGTTATTAAATTTCACATCAAAAATCAGAAAAAAGACAATTTTGCATTATCAAGCCTAAAGACCAACAGCAAATATAATTATTCTTTAAAGATTGAGAACAACATAAAAGAAAACATTGAAATAAACATTCTTTAAAACCATTTTTTAAACAATATGTCAAATTTTTCAGTTCTCGGGTTAGTTAAATGAATTAGAATCAAAAAGGAACATTAGGCCCTTTGAAAATGAAAGGTACTTAATTAAGTTTTGTCTTCTGAGCACCTTTTAGTGTGTGAAAAAGCTAATATGCATCAATATTGTCTTTATGTCTTACATGTTTGTCATGGTTCATCATGACACCTTTTGTTGTACATCTGGCACAATGATTGTATTGTAATTTAATGTAAAACATAATAAAACAATAATGATGAAACACAAAACAGTACAGCATTTTTTTCTAGTTTTCAATTCTGTATAGGAAAAACAGCCAAAGTGTTGTGGATGTGCACTAGATAAGCAGGTAGGAAGTAAGTATTTTCTTCTGCATATGTGTACAAGGGATAATTGGTATATAAAAGGCCCTGTATTATCCTGCCTCAGCCTGTTTGCAATTAATAAACAGGCTGTGTAATCCTCCTGGTGTCCAGTCTGATAATGCCGAGTGTGGTGTTATTGTGGGAGTGACACGCGCCCTCTACCACCGGGGGTTTATTTTTTTTTAGGGGGCCCTGTCCCCTTTGGCAGTGTATGTTCGTGTGTGTGTCGTGTCTATAAAGAATGATTCAGAGTGAATGACAAGTTGAGGCCTATCCTTGTATGTGTGCTAATCTTCCTAGTGTCTGTCTTGATTAAGTGATTATGACACAGTCCGGTGTTTGTTCAGGCCTCTGTCTGTCTATTTGGCATGTTTTTCAAAGTGTAGCTTAGCCAGGCCTCCACTCACCTGTCCTCTGTCTGTGTGAGGTTTGTGTGTGCGAATTGGCAGGCATGTCGGTGAGCGCCATCAGGCGGCTACAGCATGCTGGAGCGCAGTCATGTCCAGGGGGTACTGTAAGCCATGATGGCAGGCTGGG